TTTCTCCCCCCCCCCCCCCCCTTTTCCTACATCCTCCACCCCCATTACTTATTCCCCCCCCCCCCCCCAATCAACCCCCTACGCCTCTATCCTCCGATGACGGGGGCGACGCAGAGCTCCACAAAATTTCCCCCTGGGGGGTGACCAGCACCAGCGCGCCGTCTCGAAGCTCAAGCCCAGCGGTCTTGATGGCTCGCCCTTTCGCATCCCACGGCAAGTTGGCCCTCCAGCTGCCGTGCGGCTTTGGGCTCTGGCCCATCGTGCAGAGCCGGCCCCGGCCAACCCTCCACCTCCCGTTCTTTACATAGAGGTGTACCGGAATATCGTCGTAAGTGCCTTTGACCATCCTCCTCCACCAAGACTCCAAGACGCACCCCAGCCCCCCGTCGGCCTTGTCCCCGGTGGAACCCGTAGCGCGGTATGCCCACAGGGGCGACTTATCTCCGGAGAACGCGGGAATATCCCCTGCCCGCAGGATGACGTCGCCGATCTCCGTAATCTCTACGTTGGTCGAGTCCACCAGCGGTGCGGTTGACAAGAACTGCCCAGTTTGTAGGGGGTAGTCCCCGGGTGCCATGGACTGGCCACGGAAGGCGGGTGAGACTTCCGGGGTATCTGGCCCCAGCTTCGATGAGGTGACGGACGAATCGCCAAGGTTTTGTGCGAGCGGAGCGCCCTGCACGTGTTGACGTCGCATCAAACATGTGGGCAGTTGTCGGTGGATCGAACCGGACAATGGATCCGGAAAAGGGTGCGCTTGAGAGGTTCGGGCGTCCGGTCTTTGCAGTAAAATGGATGGTTGTAGATGCCACCATGGCAAGTGCCATCACGACACCGTCACGATGATACGGTCAAAACGGGAACATCAACCATCGTGATGACCACCAACATTGCAACACCATCAAACAGAGCAGGAACACCATGACCACAACAACGATGACAAACAATGTTTACGACAACCCTTCCCCGCCTCCCCCGAACACCCCCGCCACCACCAAAAGAACAACCTTCAACGACTACTTACGTCCAAGCGATTTGTTTCCTCGTCACCGGCAGGTCCTTGGGCGATGATTGCCTCTGTCAAGATAGAGACCCATGCGTCCAACTCCGACTGGCTTTCCGCATCCAGCGTCCACTGCATTTCATTCACCGTAAAACATGCCCAAAAGCAAGTAAGCCGGGTTGACGGAGACGAAATTCGACTAACGATAAAGATAGCCCGTCCGCACCACGACACACTGTGGCGGTGTCCGGGGTGGCGGCGAAGGCAAACAATATGCGAGATGAGAGCAGCCGGCAGCAATCGACGCAGCATGGACCACGCTATGGTCGTGCAACCTTCGGCGAGATCGTCGGGAGACGAGCTGGGAACCAAGTGTGCACGGGAAAGGGTTCTAGTCAACGGCTGCAAGGGGCACACAGAATGAAGCGCGTCATTGCTCGTTCCATGCCCGTGCAAACAACGGACCTACAGGAAAGCATGCGTGCACCTGGTTCCGAACAGAGAACAAGTCATGAAGCCGGTGTTTCGTTTTGGTGATAACCGTTGGCATAATCCCTGACCACAAAAATATTGTACTAACAAATGCAACGACGAGGGGGAAATCTCTCGCTCTCTTTCTCTCTCTCTCTCTCTCTCTCTCCGCTCCCGGTCTCCCCCTGAGGGCGCAGACAGAGTGGTGTGCGTTTCCACCTTAGACGATGTGAACCTTTGTTATCGTGCACGATAACATATCCATGGGAGCTTTTCTCATGGGGAGGAGATGCACTCACCTTTGTGTTGGTCTTCCCGCGAGGGTCCCCGGACACAACGCGGAACATGAACCGTCCGTTGCCGGCCTTCCCCACGTCCTGCTCGGAGAGTCTAACCACCTCCGAAGACCTGTCCAACGGTTGCTCCTGGGGTAGTAGCGGTACATTGTCATGGTCATTGTCATGGATATTGTCATGTACCCGCTGGAAAGTGCAAGAAGTGGGATCAAAATGAATACGTAGGTATTTTCTCGCGGGGGGGGGGGGGGGGATGACGGCGGATTTGAGCCCGACTCGGGAGCACGATGAGTCTCGCAACCCATGAATGACGCGCGTCATTCGTCGACAGCGCAACGAAAATATGTATAACATAGAACAATAGACTTCCCTGTCGACTATAACATCTCGTTCATCGACAACCTCTTTGTTGCGCCGTTAGCTGCATAAAAGACGAGAGCAATACGAGAGGCTTCGAATGACTTGCTCTCATTTTTCATTGCACGACACGTGCCTTGCAGGAGGCGTGATTGGCGAAACCACGCTTAGTGTGACACAGCCTCAGGGCTGAGCCGGCGACGAGCGAGAGGTCTCCGGGTTGCCACCCTCGGACCATGGTCTTGAAGAGCACCTTTCCCTCCTTGCGAAGCTGCATAGCGAGGGTTTGGCGCAAGAGCGGCAGGAGCGCGAAGAGGGAGTGTGATGTGAGGGGGGAGTGGATACAACGGTTTCGGGCGCAGAGTAGTAGAGGGGCGGCACCACCTCATGCAGTCTTCATGTGCACACCCAGTTGTCGGACTCCCTGCGTGTTCGAGTTTTGCTCAATCCCCGCACGTACACTATCAGAAATGCACTCGAGTTGACTTCGCCCACGCTCCCGCGCCCTCGATGGCACGGCGTCTCTTTCTCGACCTCTCCCCGTGGGGTAGCACGGGAAGAGGGAAAACACTCACGTGCTGTCATGTCGAACACTGACCGCGCATGGCAAGTCATCCAGCGCTAGTTTGCAGATAGAAGCTCCGATAGCATCACAACTGCGGAAACACGGATATAAGTATCTTCCGAGAGGTAATGTCCTACATGCGACCAGCAACGATCGTCGGACAATATGAACAATGGGCTACCGTCCGAAGACATTTGCCAGGGAAGATTCACAGAATACCATGACCATTCATTTGCATCTTGGAGACGGGGAGATGGCGGCGAAGGCGCCCCACGCCCCACTCTCTCTCAGCTTCCACCTTTCTTGGACTAGAAAAGCCGAGACTATCGGCTACGCTTGGCACTTCCTCGCCACATATCAAGAGAGACAAATACCTCCGCTGGTGAACGGTTAATCACTACGTCTGGAACCTCTACTCGCCAGAGAGAAAGTGTTCTAATTGTCGTCGACGAAGAAACTACTCGGCACAGAGAAAGGGAACTATCACAACCATCGCTCTATATCAGGATATCGAACCCCCTGGACCTCAAGACGGCTTAATCCAATAGTCCAGGTACCAAACATCAACCCCCCCGGGATGGGTTTTGTTCCCCATCCAAGACGCAGCAGGGAGGCAAGTACCGGAACGTCGGATCTCACCGTTACGTCGGCGGCCGTGGCCTCGTCCGAGGCGGGATCCTCGGAGCCGTCGCCGCCGTTGTCGCCTCCGTTGTTACCGCCGTTGTCATTGTCGTCACCGTCGTCATTCTTGTCGTGGTCGTCATGACCATCGTAACTGGTGCCGCCGCCATCGTTGTCGTCGGTGTTGTCGTCGTCGGTACTACCGGCTCTCAGAGCCCTTCTGGTGCCGGGTACCCAGTCGTCCCGGCGCTTGATGTTGGATACACTGAACGGCCTCACACCCTGATGCAGGAAGGATTCAGCGAAAGGCACAAGTGTCACGGGGCCACGTGCAGCTGGTGTTAAGTTGAAAGGTGCGGCGGGCCGGCGCGGTGAAGCCGTGGGTCTTACCGACCGTGCGAGAGAGTCCCAGTGGGAGACGAGAAAATTGCGCGGTAAGAATTCATGTTCCGCGGGAGGGGGGGGGGGTAACATCTAAACAGGATGGGAGTATTACAGGCTCCAAAATGGCCTAGCGCCGGATGGGCCGAGAAACGGCTGCCCGCACCAGATTTCACTTGTTATTATCTCTAGTCTAGGAAGGCATCGAGAGATTGTGCTGATCAAAAACGTAATAGGACACACACCCCGGCACGCACGGCACCGCTCCCGCCCCACCACTAACCCAACAAGAGCAACAAGTGGACAGCAGTGCTTACCTGGATAACGGGCTTTCTGGCTGCCCCGTCGTTCGTCGTGGCGGGGTCGGCGGTGGTTGTGGCGGCCGGGGCGGCATCTTACTCAAACGTGCGGGGGGGGCATATAGTCGGGGCGCATGGAGACAGTACCTAGAACATCGGGAAATGAATCCCAGTCGGAGCAGCGCAGTAGAGGACACGACAAAAGAAAGAACGTCGCAAGATGGTGCTCTTTGCGTGCAAAGGCGGAAGGAACACACCATATGCACGACGCTGGTGGGGGCTAGCTCAACTTTCCCAGCCGTTGGTTCGCTGTCGCTCTTGCTTTCTTCCCTCGTGTTACGATGACGCTTTTCTTGCCTGGTGCTTATGTAGCCTAAGGTGCAGCCTGTCACTGGGCCAAGGCCGGGTGTGGACGTTCCCTTGCTCCCGTTCTTTTGCGCTAGAGGCTTTGGCCCGCCCCCGTTTACGGTCCTAGAGTACGGCGCAGAAGACAAGGCTGAGATCAAAACGAAACAGATGCGGCGAGGGGAATGATTCGAAAAGAGCAGCTAGCGCTAATAGGCCACGATATTTGCGCAAGCTTCC